CCCCCCCCCCGTTCCTTTGGCGGCCCTCTCGCTGCTGAGCGTGTCCTCCGGCGGCCACAAAGTGCGGGGTGCTGGGGACTCTGGCCGCTCAGAGCATGGTGCCCTGTCACAGTCCCCATCTGGAAAAGGTTGGGAACCGCTGCTCTAACTGAATGTTTCTCAAACTGGGGGTCTGTGATAGGTTTAGGGAGGTCACAATCAGAGCTAGCATTAGGAAGCAGAGAAGTTGCCTGATGTCCCACAAAGTCAATTGGCCACAAAGTGCGGGGTGCTGGGGACTCTGGCCGCTCAGAGCATGGTGCCCTGTCACAGTCCCCATCTGGAAAAGGTTGGGAACCGCTGCTCTAACTGAATGTTTCTCAAACTGGGGGTCTGTGATAGGTTTAGGGAGGTCACAATCAGAGCTAGCATTAGGAAGCAGAGAAGTTGCCTGATGTCCCACAAAGTCAATTAACATGTTTTGCAGAACTGAAGTCTGAAGCCCCTACCTTGAGATAGAGGGGTTGTAATTTATTTGAGTGGGGGTCACCAATACAAAAAGGTTGAGAAACACTGCCTACATTTTGAGTTCTGCCTGCCTCTCTTGGTAACACTTTGTTGTTTTTTTAAATATTATTACTTCTTTCCAGAAAAGTTCATGAGCAGGTTAATCCAAAGTCCAAGACACTGCTTGGTCAGTTGCCTGGCAATGGGTACTTTTCATTCCTCTCTGTGTGCTCAGACACGACCCTCTGAGCATGAAGAGTTAATGGACTTAAGGATGTTGAGGCAGACAATCCGTTAGTCGTGTAGTCGATAACGTTTTTATCGACTACATGATTAGTCAGTGAGGCAAGGTTTCTTCAGTCCCAGCTTTTGCCAGGGCCAGGAGTTCCCTCTGCTGTGACCCTGCAGTTTAAATGTCGTAAGAGCGGGGTGCACAGGCAGCCTGGCTTTGCCTACATTGAAACTGCAGAATCACAGTGGGCGTAGCTCCTGAGTCCAGAATGAGCTGGGATTACTCAGTCCTGGCTCGGGCTGGGTCCAGCAGCCCAAGGTTTCTTCAGTCCCAGCTTTTGCCAGGGCCAGGAGTTCCCTCTGCTGTGACCCTGCAGTTTAAATGTCGTAAGAGCGGGGTGCACAGGCAGCCTGGCTTTGCCTACATTGAAACTGCAGAATCACAGTGGGCGTAGCTCCTGAGTCCAGAATGAGCTGGGATTACTCAGTCCTGGCTCGGGCTGGGTCCAGCAGCCACAGTCTGCAGGGAGTCTCCCGCCCCCCCCCCCCCCCCCCCAAACCCCTGTGCTGCTGCCTTTGATAGAGGCAGCAAAGCAGTGGGGGCAGGAAGCACTGCAGAGATGTGCTGGGGGGAACCGGCTTTTAAGCTGGCTCCTCCCAATGCTGGCTCCTGCTTCCTCCATCCTTGCTGCCTTTGTATCAGAAGCAGTGAGGGGGGAGGCAAGTAGTCGACTCTACTACCTGACTACTCACTTATCCCTAAATGGGTGTAGTGTTAGCCCATGTATTGCCCCTGGGGCTTCCACAAAGAAGCTTCTAAACTGAGTTTGAGGGTGCTTTAAGTCCAAAATTGCAGGCACAGCCTAGACCCGTAGTGTCCAACATGCTAGCCACTAGCCAGTTGTGACTATTTGGCCAGTTGAGTGTGGCTAGTTCACTATAACACTATCCACTATAGTGGTTATTGCTGCAGAACTGGTTAGACACCACGGGCCTAGAATATAGACATGAGCTTTGGTTTTGCTTCAGCCCAGAAACCCGCCTGCTGTCAGTATTCTAATCTTATCCCACAGTTCCACCTAGGCTGTACTCTCTTGGTTTATTCCTCTGTTTCTCTCCGTTGTATTTTTAATCCCATGTTTACCTGCTCTATTTCTGCTGTACTTCTGCCGTATTTGAACATATTTGCTGTCTGATAAATCCTTTGTGCAGTCAGTTTGCCAGAAACTGGCACCAGCCATGTGGTAAAGGTTTTGTGTGATAAGGTTTTTAAAATGGAGAAATATATTCAAGTGACAAATGTTTAGTGGAGAGGAAAGAAGTGGAGAGACAGAGAAGTTCCTCCATCAGATGAGAATTGCTTTGGTTTGAATTCTGAATTTCTTAATGAGCTAGAGTGAGATATTTTATATCTTTTACTGGACCAACTTGTGTTGGTGAGCAAGACAAGCTTTGCGGCCACAACAGGTGTTTTCAGGTCTGGGAAAGCTATTGTGAGCACCACAACTAAATGCAAGTAGATCACATTGTTTAGCATAAGTGTGTAGCATGTATTCAGGCTACTCTATATTAAGGATGTGAAAGGTTAACTGGTAAGCATCACCCATAGAAGGTGATGCTTACTGATTCTGTTTAACAGGTGGGGACTGGAGCAGCTCCCCACCTGCTGTGGACAGGGAGCTGCTCCAGCCCCACTGCAGACAGGATGGTTTAACTGGTTTACCAATTACAGAGAATTTTACATCGTTACTCTGCATCTCCCTTACCCTAGGCTAACTGCAGTGCTGAATACATACCTTGAGAAAGGAGTTACCAAATTTGTTTCCATTTATTTCTGACAAAATAGCTGCATGCCAGTAAAACAGTGCACTTTGGTGTCAAATCTGTCTAAAAATCATAGAAATAATTTAAATATAAAAGTATTCATTTTTAAAGTTAGAATGGTGAAATTTTTAACTCTTTGCCTTTGTGTGTTGTATTCATGTAGTTTTTCATTGTGTAATCACTCAAGATTTGCCTGTGCACACTGTATGCTTTTTGAGATGGAATAAAATGTGTAGTATGGTTTCTTAGTTAAGGGTCTAGTTACCTAGTGACAAATTATGGGCCAGATCTTGAAATGCCATGTTAGCTATTATGTACATTATAGTGGTGCCCAAAATGAACGATCAGTATCTTAACAATAGAACAAAAAAGGGAGGGAGAAAATGGTTCTGTGGAATTCCCGGTCACAGAATCACTTCTTAAAACTTTCATCTTTCACAGCAAAATTTGTTGCTAGTCTTTACGGTTATGCAGAATAAAGTGAAAATACAAAATTAGTGTAAACTTGGTAGAGAGTCTTCAGACAGCCTGAAGTAGTGGCTTAGAGAAATATTAACTGCCTCACTCCAAACTGCATATTGCTAAGTCTGAAACCTAAATATGACCATTTAAAAGTCAGTATTTCCAACGATTTCAATTAGGGGTTAGCATACAGTCGTTTAAATGGTTAACCAATAAGCCTGTATTAGAGGTGGGAAGAAGGGGGTAGGCAGGAGCTGGCTCCCTGCATGTGCCAGTTCCTGCAGAGCTGCCTCCTCCCTCTCTGCTGCCTACCACAGAGGCAGCAGTGTGTGTGTTGGGGGGCGGGCAGATGGAAGACAGTGCTTCCCCGCCTCCTGCGGAGCTGTGTGACACCCCACTCCTGCACTGCTTCCCCTGTGTACCGGCTCCTGCCTGCCCCTCTCACCCTCTGCTGCCTCTCTATGGGTACGTCTACACTACAACGTTAATTCGGACTAACTTAGTTCGAATTAGTTAATTCGAACTAAGCTAATTCGAATTTACGGATCCAGACTAAAAAACTAGTTCGAATTAGCGTTTTGCTAATTCAAACTAGCATGTCCAGCTTTCAAGCTGACTTCCCATTCATATCAGCTCCTGCAGAGTCACCTGCCTCCCAGTGCTGCTGCCTCTCTATCAGAGGCAGCAACGTGTGGGGGGAGTTGATATGTGCCGAGACCTGGCTTTTAAGCTAGCTCCCTACACATGCCGGCTCTGCAGAGCCACCTGCTACCCCCACCATTGCTGTCTCTCCTCCCCCCCTCCATGCTGTATCAGAGACAGTAGTACAGGGTGCGGGGAAGGCAGGATGCTTGAGCAGCCACTGTCCACGGGGAGTGTGGATCCCTTGCAGACGGGGGCTGCTGCTGCCCTGCACTGCTGCTTCTATATTGGAGGAAGCAGTAAGGGGTTTCATGGGGCTCCCTGGGAATGAGGCCAGCCCTGGACTGGGGGGCAAGGTGCATTTTGGAAACCATGTAACCACTAAAAATTGTTGCAGATACATAATTACTAAAATAACTGATATCTAACATCCCTAATTTCAGTGCTGTTAATTTTATCAGAAACTTCCAACTAATATGCTTACTCCACAGTCCC